TGCCGCTTCTTCTCCTCTACCTCTTCTTCCTACTTCACCCGTTCTTGCTCCCCATCTTTTAGGGGTCATGGAGAAGATGGGCGAAAGAAAACGAGAAGGTTGAATCAAATCGAGTTGGTCTTGTTTAATTCGATTTACCACAAAATCATGTAATAAAAGTTAAATATCATATTTGTTCATTTATTAAAAAAATCATATTTGTACATTATTTCTTGTCACGAGAAATTAATGTAGAAAAAAAAGTCGGATGGACCAATAAAGAACAGAGCAAAAACCATTGTTTTATTATTTGAGAGACGGAAAAAAGATGACGACGGCCGGCATCGATCCTCGCTCCTACCCTTTCCATTTGTAACAGAGTGAGAGTGAGAGGTGGAAAGCGAGAAAAGTGAGAGCTCTTCGCTCGCGGCGCCTTCTTCTCTCTCTCTCTCTCTCTCTCATCATTCTCCCCCACTCTTTTCTCCGATCTGAAACCCACCCCTCAGGCGGACGAGAGAGAAAGCGAAATGCGATCGCGGCAATCCCTACAAGAATCCGACGGCGGACGTCCCGCATTCTTTACCTAATTGGCTTCGGCATCATCACTTCTCCCCGGGCTGCGGCGATGGGGAGCGTCTCCTCCGAGGAGGCGGAGGAAGAGTACGCCTCCGACCAGCCGAACGATGGCGGGGGCAGCCACAGCCACAGCCCCAGCGCCAAGGTGCCCGGGTCCGACTCCTCCATCGATTTGTCTGGCCGCCGATTCCCCGTCGCCGGCGTCCCGCTGCATCCCGGAGGGGATGTGCTCTTCTGGGAGGCGAACGTGGAGGAGAGGGCGACGGATTTCTCCGGTTTGCAACCAACATCTTTACCTCATTTCCGCTTTCGAGTCTCAATCCCTTTTCCTTTTATTGACTCGGTTATGCTGAAACAGATGCGCTAATCAGCCTGACACTATGCTTTGATTTCTTTCTCAGAGGTGGAGATGATGAAGGAGAGATTTGCCAAGCTGCTCCTTGGCGAAGACATGTCGGGCGGTGCCAAAGGCGTCTGCACCGCTCTCGCGATCTCAAACGCCATCACGAATCTCTCCGGTGATACCCTGTTCCTTCTGTTTGCTTCACTCTAATTTGTTAGAATTACCATGTTGACATTTTTGTTCTTGTTATGAAATGCTGAATCAGCTGCAGTTTTTGGGGAATTATGGAGATTGGAGCCCCTGGCGCCGCAGAAGAAGACAATGTGGCGAAGGGAGATGGATTGGCTCTTGAGCGTAAGTGATTATATCGTGGAACTCGTCCCCTCCATCCAAGAGTTACCCGGCGGCAGGTCGTTCGAGGTGATGGTCTCTTGTCACCGCACTGATCTCCAGATGAACCTCCCAGCGCTCAAGAAGCTCGACGCAATGCTTCTTGGCATGCTGGATGGATTCTGCAATACTGAGTTCTGGTATGTAGACCGGGGATTCCTGGTCACTGATGCTGATGAAGATGCAAGCAAGACTTGTCCATCTTCCTCGTTCAGGAGGGCGTCTTCGAGGCAGGAGGAAAAATGGTGGTTACCTTGTCCGGGAGTTCCACCAACTGGTCTGTCAGAGGAGGCAAGGAAGAGATTGCAGCTGTCCAGGGATTGTGCGAATCAGATCCTGAAGGCAGCCATGGCAATCAATAGTGCAGTGCTCTCTGAGATGGAGACTCCTGATGTCTACTTTGAAACATTACCTAAGGTATAGACCATGACTAGCTTGTTTATTTATCTTCTCCCTGGTTAAAATGAAGCATATATGTGACATAATACTATATGATTGAATGAGAGACATTGTTGAAACTATAGAGAGGGAGAGAGAGAATCTTTGATCCCAAAATAGCAAATCTGAAGCTATTTGTTGTACACAACTAAATCTGAAGCTATATGTTGTAGACAACTAAATAGATCAACCCTTGTGGATGTGGACATTGGGTACATCTTTGCTTGTTTTTGTAATTTATTACAATGACATTGGCATAGTTGATCATCTACAACTGTGTAATTTTTCATAGTGAAGAATACGATTATTCACAATTTTAAATAACTCTTATTTTTCTATGATGTAGCAATTTTAAGATTCATGTTAATTCTACTTGTCGGTGAATATTTCATCTTTCACATTCTCTATATAATCCAAGATGTGGACTGAAGACATGCTCAACTAGTGCTAGCTTTAACTATTAACAATTGATTCACATTCACTATATATTCACATTCTTCTTTGCCACCCTCGAAGGATATCTAGCAATTGATTCTTTATATAGACATAAATTATCATTTCTATATGGATTGAAGGTGCAACATGGTTGCAATACCAAATCTCTTTTCTGTAAAGGTTCTTTCTTCTGATCAACTGCCTTTTATGCTAAGTGTCCCATAGTAGGAAATCATATAACCTGATTGTTTATTTAGATACTTTTAGTAACTATTTACTTGTAATCAAAATTTGTCATGACAAATAATGTAAAAAGATGAATTATTTAACATGTTCTTGATGGGAAGATGGATTCCTTTGGGAACTTTCATGAATTTGCTGACTGAAGTTCTTTGATGCTTTGTTGTTGGTGCATTATATTAAAACTGACACAGACATGCATTGGACTAAAAAAGAAGTGATTTTAACATTTGCATGAGAGCAACTGTTGTTTTGATAGGGGGCCTTTTCGTGCTTCTCTGTAATGAATGCAATAAGCCAATGACATGGCATTGTAAGGCATATAAAGGGAAAGAATTTTATAAGAAATGTTGTGAAGAACTCATGTGATATTTGATTTGTACCTGTTTTCTCATCACTATAGATTGTGTTATTTTGAAACCAAGGAACAGAAAGGCACAAAGGAGGACAAGATTTAGTTAGGAAGAAGATTGTCAAGAATGCTATGGTTATCATCAACTGGACCCATGACTGCATGAACAGAGAACAAAAAAGTGATACTGATTGTTGTTTTTATGATGATATACAAACCCTGTAAACACTTCATGACACTTTTAGCAACATACCCTTGATACCCTCTGTGCTGGAATTTAGTAACCTGAAAGAGGACAAATAGCAGAGTGATTCATGCTTGGGTAGAATAATAAAATCATATACACCAAAGACAATAAAACAACAGATTGATATGTTAAGGGAATTTTGAAATGAGCACACATGATAAATGGGATACATAAAAGATGAACATGATTCACAGAAGACTGGGTAGAAAAGATGCAAAAATACATAAAATAAAACATGAGATGACACAAGCACAAATAAAAGCAGGGAACACATTGTTGATGAGTTTAGATGGCATAATATCCAAGTTATCTGGCCCGAGATAGGAGCATGATCATGTAAAAACCTGAATGTCCAATAGGAGTGCAATTGTCATAAAATGATCATACATACAAAAAAAAGATGCATTCAGTGGAGACAGTTGTGATGTTCTCGGCTTTTCCAAGTAGTTGAGCTGGTACATGTCACATTGAGCTGTTGCAGATGTTGATCTGGAATTACTTCCATCATATGTAAGCTTCAATCAGATAAAACAATGTAGCCAGCCCCCATCTATTCTTTCTTTCTTTTTCTTAAGTTCACTAGTCGTTCTAATTGTATATACCCAATAAAGTTTATCACATCTCATTATGCCTGAGTTTCTTCATTTTTCTTCAATTGTGATGAATTGCAGTATGGGAAAACCTGTTTAGGTGACATCATCTACCGCTACATAACCGCTGATTCATTTTCACCTGAGTGTCTACTCGACTGCTTAGAACTTTCATCTGAGCACCATATTCTAGAAATAGCGAATAGGATTGAGGCGGCAATACATGTTTGGCGGCTGAAGGGCCAAAGCAAGCAGTCTCAATCTAAGGCAAAGAACTCATGGAGTGGAAAGTTCATTGGACTTGTTGGTGACACGGAAAGATTTCTGTTCCTTGCAGAACGGGGTGAGGGTCTTTTGCAGAGCTTACGACTTCGTTACCCTGCTCTTCCACAGACTATTCTTGATATGAACAAGATTCAGTACAATAAGGTAATTCGTAACATCCTCTTAATAGCTGATATTTTGCCCAAATGGTCTCAGATGCTTCTAAGTAGAATATTTCTATTACAACTAGTGGTGTATATTACTTGTTAACTTACAAATTCCAAGCATAGTTCCTCCAAATTGTCTGTATTATTGGCCTCATCATGAATGTTAGTTGTACATTATGTGTAGTGAAATTACACCAGCAGTACTGCATTTTGTTTAGCAGACATGATTATCTCATGTGAGAAACTCTGGGGACATGTGATTAAGCATGTTAACCTCTCTTTCAGGATGTAGGGCAGTCTATACTTGAGAGCTACTCGAGGGTTATGGAGAGTTTGGCATTTAATATCGTGGCAAGGATTGATGACTTGATCTTTGTGGATGATGCTACAAAGAATTGTGCAGCTCCGGAATCCATTTCTATATTTAACCGGGGAGGACTGGGAGGAATTCCAATTCATAAGAGGATATCGCCCAGCCCATTCTCGTTTCAGAATACGCCTTCTGCCTCACCATTTTGTCCTTCCACTCCACTTATAGGAAGTCCAGTAACAGTGCCATCTTCCTTGAGCAAGGGCAGCCGACAAGAACAACAAGAGGGGAAGGTGGAGAGGCTTATTTCTGGCAATGCAGATGAGGTATGGTCATATACTAGGGAACTATGTTCGAGAAAAGAGACAGGTGATGCCCCTGAAAGGAACTGACATGAAATAAAAAGTTAGTCGATTGGCCTCGTGAAAGATGGATCTGGCAGCCATCTATCACATGGAAAGCTTTGACGATGAGACATGAGCCGATGGTTGTCTGATTGATGGGCTTATTCCTGTACAGAAGTAACCGATATCAAGTTTCGCTCTTTACACTTTAGATGCAGGTATGGATCTTGTTACATGTCTACCTTCAACTTATTTTTTAAGAGAGTTGTTACCTATTAGTATTTTGGTTTTAAAAGGTATTCAAAACAACATCACCGGTGAAACTGTTCATGAAATTGATATGCTAAGCCTTGCAGAAATGTTGTGCTTGAAAGATTGAACTTCATAGCATGGCTGGGTCAAGTAATGGTTACGACGACGTCTGAATGGGGTGTAAAGAATGCTAACCTCTGCAAATCGTGAGAGTTATAGTGAATGTTTAGTTGTATTGTGATGTATGGCCTCAGACTTGGGTTTGTCGCACGACTTTGGAAACCATCGGATTAAGACCTTTAGTTGATGCTTTAACTAATAATCTTTGTTTTCTTGGACAAAAAATTGTGATGTCTAACAGAAAAGTCCAAGAAATCTGTTCATTGGCTGATGCCATCCCCATCCTCCCTAAAACAATTACACCATTTAGCCCTAAACAATTTTGTGCCACTGTATTCATTGATAATTACGAATTGCAATGTCTTGAGCATCAAGTCAAAGCTGCTATACGAGATCCGATGATAGAATCTGATTCAGAAGATGACAATTTATTGAATAGCCCGAGATGCTGTGATTCTAATTAAATCCCTCGTATTGGTCTTGTGCTTCAGTGTAGAACAAAAGAACTGTCCGTGTGAGCATATTTTGTGTGTTGGTGCAGTGAGATGTCACCCATGTGATATGACGTTCGGAAGCAGAAATGTAGTCTCTCATGCGTCTCATATGGACTCATGTCATGTTCCTGTTTGAGGGAAATGTACACTTCTTTGGAAGTAACTCATGCTCGAGAAGATTTGGTGCTCATCTTCAAGTGAGAAGAAATGACACAGTGCAAAAGAAAAAGGAGATCAGTAAAGGCGAGGGACAAAGATGGATTATAGTCACCAACATATTCATGAAATGAAAACAAAAGACAGCATTTTATGTGCATTTGGGGATGCAGCTCATCCCACGTCACCGCCTGCAAGCCTTCCACGTGCTCACTGCTTCCCCTGCCTTAGCCAACAGATGACCATCAGCACGCATCTCGTAACACTGTAGAACCGCCGACCATGGCTCCCTCGCCGCCGCGAGGCACCTTATCCTCTCCGGCGCCGGCTCCTCCTTGGCATTGCCTGCGCGACGCACACTGGCCCATCTCATTAGCCTGCCTCCAACACCTACCTCTTTCGGAGCAGACTATATAATAGCTTTCTCTAGCTACGCGACTCTGCCAAACTCGTATCTCTCTTGTGAGTCAAAGTGAGAGGGAAGAAAGAGGGGGAGGAAGTAATAAGGGAACAAGAGAAGTAACATCACTCTAGCTAAGTCTCATGGTGCCTGTATCCAAGATCTCCCTCCATTAGAGTAGACATTAGATCTCAAGCTAGCCGGTGCTACAGAGCTCATCTTTATAGACATTCTCCCATGGGGCCTTCCAGTATGCATTTACCATCACAAACACATCTTTGGATCGTCAATGTCACAAATCTCCTGCTAAGAACTCATGCACAACGCCTTCAACTTCAATCATACTTGTCCCTGAAGACCGCCTGATACCCATATCACACATCACCTTTCGCACCCTCAACGCATCTTCTGTTCTACCAACCATAGCATAAAGATTCTGCAGCGCTACATATCGACCTTCTTCCAATGGTTGGAGCTGAATGAGATGCACAGCAGCTTCTATGCCTAGTTCATACTTGCCGTGGGCAAAGCATCCACCTAAAAGAGCACCCCACGCAGATGCATCAGCTTCACACGGCATGCTCTCCAGTAGCGATCTCGCCTCATCTAGATGTCCTCCACGAGACAGAACATCCACCAGGCATCCATAGTGCTCGGCGCTTGGCTCGATCCCGTAGAACCTTGTCATGCAATCCAAACATCTGCGAGCATCGTCAACCATGCCAAAGTGACTGCAAGCCATCAAAACCCCGACGAAGCTGATCCTGTCCGGCCTCACCCCAAGCTTCATCATCTGCGAGAAGAGGGAGAGAGCACTGGTTCCGCATCCGTTTATCGCGAATCCAGTCAACATGGTGTTCCATGACTCCAAGTCCCTGGAACCGTGCTCAAGAAACGTATCCAAAGCAGCATTAATCTTTCCACACTTGGCATACAGATGCACGAGGGAATTGTTCAGCGTCGTCGTGCGCCTAACCTCCGGATGCCTCCTGAGATAACCATGGATCCATTCACCCAAAGCAAGACAGCCTATCTGAGAGCAAGCCGAGAGGGCACCGATGAGCGTGACCTCGTTCGGCCTACAATTCGACATCTGCATTTCCCTGAACAGTTGGAGAGCATCCAGCGGGAGCCCGCAGTGAGTATAAGCGCTCAACATCGCGTTCCAAGCAACAACGTCCTTCTCCATCACCCCATCGAACAAGGCCCTCGCTTGGGTAATTTCACCATTCTGGGCGTAGCCGATGAGCAAGGCGGTCTGAAGCGCAACATCCTTAACAAGAACTCCGTCGAACGCCTTGCGGGCAGAGTCCAAGTCGGAGCAGGAAGAGTAAAAGCTGATGACGGAGCTGGCGACGAATCTGTCGGTCCCCAGTCCGGCCTTGACGACGCGAGCATGGACGGCTCTGCCGTCATGGGAGGACGCGAGAAGGGAGCTCACCTTCATGGCGGAGATGAGGGCGGATTTGCTGGGCACACGAGACCGAGGGAGAGCGTCATGTGTGCTGTGGGAAATGGAGAGTTCCGAGGGTAGCGTTGCCGCCATATCCTCTTTGCTCTCGTAATGTTTGCGGGTAAAGAACGTTGTTTATGCTTTTGCTCCGTTCGACGGCTCCAATTGCAGTGTTTCTCGGCAATCAGAGCCACCACCACATACATACACACGAGATATTTTCGAGTGATGCTTATGGCTATCATTGTCTTGAATGATACAATTTCTTGATGTGGTTGAAACATATATATATATAT